CCCCCTCAGGATACCAACGACTTCAAAAGGCAGCTGAAATCGCTCCGTTAAGATGTCTGCAAGCCCAAAATGTCGCTTTATATAGCTAAAAAAAGTGTTATGGAGATGAACTGGATCGGTGAGTGTGCTACCCGGTTTGGATGTTCGGGTGGGTGCGAGTAGCCGAATTCGACTACATGCAGACGGTTTGGAACGGGTGGCTGCGTAACCCGATGATTGCCGGTGAGCCCTGTATTGGTGATACGTACCGCAGTGAATTTATCAATAACCGCGGTAAATGTTTCACTCAAGCATCCTCCTCGAGTGTGCAAGATAGCCGCGTCTTGACGGCAATAAATTCGATTCGCCCCCAGAACGTTGCTATCATACACATCAATGATAACGTCAAAATGGAAACCTCAATAATGTCACTTCGTTCACACGGATAAAAATGACTCTCCTAGTCAATATCACCTTATTTTATCTACTCAACAAATACCTCAACAGTGATGTTAGAGCTTTGTAACTAGTTGTGAAGATCAGCATTGCATTCGCGTCAAAGTGATGACGAGACGCGGACGATTATCATGGTATTGGTCACAACAGGTGACGTCCTTCCACGTCGTCGAGTATCTTTGCTGGTTCACTTAGCAACCGGTACCTCCTGCGATGATCAAGCATGACGTGCTATCGAACATGGCCATAATGTTGGTCATGATGGACCACACAAGCGAGAAGCTTAGGTAGAATACTGTCACTCCACCCAGAAGTTTGCTGTGTCCTCCCTTGCGCACCAGTTCCTGCGTTTCAGCCTTCTGCGGTGGCAGCAGGAACAGGAAGACCCACGAGAAAATGGTCATTGCGTACATAATGATGATCGTGTATGTGATATCAAGGCGAACTGAGTGGGTGTCAGCTTGCACGCGCTCGTTGGTAACGTTGAAGGGACTGTCAATTGCGAGGGTGATCGATGTAGCGAAAGGCTGTGCGACGTTGCTCACTGTCGTGATGAGACCGTAGACCGCGGCCTCGTTACCGATTTGAGCGAGCTCAACGACGCAGAAACTCGAGATGATCCACCCAACGCCGTACGGGAGCTGTACAGCAATAGGGGGGCCCAACCAGAACCACTGGCTACGGAAAACGTCCCAAATCACGAGAAGCGAGACCGTACAGTCCACAATGATCACTACGGCTCCGGTTGCAACGGTCATCCAGCGCCAGTTCCAGTGTAGACCCCACTTGGATGTGATCATGATACCGGCAGCGAAGAGGAGGTTACCAAGGATATCACTCAACGTGCTGTTGATTGGAGTAACCCCCACCATCTTCGACGCCACTGGAGAGCTACCGGTGTAAGTGATGTTGGCGAAGATGCCGGAAAAGAAGATGTAGGCGATGATCTGGTACATAGCGCGCGAGCACAGCAGCTCCCAGAAGTTCTTGATGTATTCTCCAACGTTGGCAGCTTCCGACTTCTCCTCCTTGATGAAGAACCACGTCATGGGGAACACTGGAAGTGTGAGCACGGCGACAATGATCATCAACTGCGGAAAGCTGAGGGAAAAGTCGAAGTCACCACCGTAGTCTTCGCCGTTAAAAAAGAATCCAACCAGGATCTCACCGAAGATCACCATCGCAGTTCTAACCGTGTAGATACAGGACTGGGTCTTGCCACGTTTATCGATCGGTTCCCGCTGCGCCAACTCACACGTAATTGCGTCGGCACAGACATCGGATAGCACGTAGCCAACTGCACAAAACAGCATAATAATGACATACTTGGCACCTTCGTCCGGGGCGCTGTGGTTGATACGAGCTTCAATCTCAGGTGTGTAGTCCGCGACGTCAACGTCACGATCAGAGGGGACGGTGAAGTACGGCTTACCAATGGGCATAATACACATGATCAACAGCATAAGGAAGCAGAGGCCCCAACCAATCAACATGTACGGACGACGACGGTAACCACAAATCGGTCGACAGTCTGATAGGATGCCGTAGAACACTTTGAAGCTCCAGGGTAGTACGACAAGTTGGCTGGCTGCCGTCACCTGCGCTCCGGAACAATTGAGATAGTTCTGCATGAACGGGTAGATGGTCCCGGGTAGCAGACCGTACACGAGACCGACGACGACGTATTGGAAGAGAAGACCGATGTTCTCCTTGCTGGTGAGCACGGGCATCCCACCTTCGCGTAGCGCGCCACCCTCGGGCGTTTTGTTACCGGCGTAGGCGCCTTCAACATCTTTAGCCTGCGAACCTCCGCTTACCAGAGACAACCGCTTGGGGAAGTCGATGTCCCCTGCATTAGGCTTCACAGTCATCGAGATTGCAGCTGGAGAACTTTTGCGGGTACCGACGAAATTTGAGGACTGGTAATAAGCATGGTTGTTCCACACGTGGACGACGCAAAAGTTGGTGAGCTAGGCGGACCTGTAAAGCATACAGCGCCGATTCAACAACAGCGGATTTCGTCAAGAGCTTTGCCAAATTCCTGATGCATGATACAAAATCTGTATTACAGATTGCCACCGAGTTGTCTAAACCTTTATACTATTCCGCCCAAAAAATGCGGTACAGCTAACCCTAGCCAAACTGATACCTGAGATTACTCATATCCCTTTGTATCTGATGAGATGAAACTTTGATAATGCTCGTAGAGAACCTGTGAAAATAAAATTAATGCCGTAGCTTGTATTATAAAATATCACTAGATACTGGCATTTGACTTGACGAACTCAATACAGAGACCAGGCGTGAGCAAGGTATCGTTTTCTCCTGTGTCGGCGCGAGAGCTGGATCACAGCTGCATGCTTGCACATCAGGCCACTACAGTGTACGACCACAAACTCCGTTTCGCTGCATTGACCTGCAGACCGCTGTCATGACGTGCTTCGCTGACCTTCCAGGTGGTAAACCGAATTTGGTCATTGCCATGCGATTCGAGCGGATGTTCAACATACATTTTTTAAGCTCTGCAGCTGTGTTGGTACATATCATTTGGTGCTTCAATTTGATATCAAACCGCTACGGACTTAATATCTATGAACACCACAGTTGTTTAATAGTATCCACCTGCTGTCTTTCCAAACAATCCTAGTTATATTTGACAGGGGAGAACACAAAATACGTCCGTGTATCTGATATATAATGTCAAAACGGGTCTAGTTTTTAGGCAATCTTCTCAGTAAAGGCGACTTGACTGTATTTGAGCGGGAATTGATGTGTACAGAAATATAAGGGTCCAGTGTGTATTCTCCCCATTCTACAATAAGATACCTCTATTTTACGCTTAGCTTTTAAATTCAGAGCTTTTCTTAAATTCAATAAAACAGGCAACAATCCAATGCTCTGCATCACAACCCAACAATTCAAAGCTATGCAATTCACAACCAACAATACTCCCTCGAGAGCTCAGCAACCGGTTCCGCCGGCTATGATCAAGCACGACGTGCTGTCGAACATGGCCATAATGTTGGTCATGATGGACCAGATAATTGCAAAGATCAAGTAGAACGTCGTGACGCCGCCGATGAGTTTGCTGTGGCCTCCCATGCGAACCAGAGCCTGCGTCTCGGCCTTCTGCGGTGGCAGCAGGAATAAGAAGACCCACGAGAAAATGGTCATTGCGTACATAATGATGATCGTGTACGTGATGTCGGCCCGAACCGAATGAGTATCGGCTTGTACGCGCTCGTTTGTAACGTTGAAAGGACCGTCAATCGCGAGGGTGATCGATGTAGCGAAGGGCTGCGCGACATTGCTCACAGTCGTGACGAGCCCGTAAACCGCGGCCTCGTTGCCGACTTGAGCGAGTTCAACCACACAGAAACTCGAGATGATCCACCCAACGCCGTACGGGAGCTGTACAGCAATAGGGGGACCCAGCCAGAACCACTGGCTACGGAAAACGTCCCAAATCACGAGAAGAGAGACTGTACAGTCCACGATTATCACCGCAGCTCCAGTAGCGACCGTCATCCAGCGCCAGTTCCAGTGTAGGCCCCACTTAGACGTAATCATGATGCCAGCAGCAAAGAGAAGATTGCTGAGGATATCGCTTAACGTACTGTTCACAGGGGTGACACCCACCATGTGCGATGCGACGGGTGTACTGCCCGTGTAAGTGATGTTGGCGAATATACCGGAGAAGAAAAGGTAGGCGATGATCTGGTACATGGCACGTGAACACAGCAAGTTCCAGAAGTCGGTGATGTACGCTCGGAAGTTGGCAGCGGTTGACTTCTCCTCGTGGATAAAGAACCACGTCATCGGAAACACTGGAAGCGTGAGTACCGTCACGATGATCATGAGTTGAGGAAAACTTAGCGAGAAGTCAAAGGTACCACCGTACTCTTCACCGTTGAAGAAGAAGCCAACCAGGATCTCCCCGAAAATCACCATCGCAGTTCTAACCGTGTAGATGCAGGACTGGGTCTTGCCACGCTTGTCAATGGGTTCGCGTTGAGCCAACTCACACGTGATGCTGTCGGCGCAGACGTCCGACAACACGTAACCGACGGCTGCGAAGAACATGATGATGACGTACTTGGCACCTTCGTCCGGGGCGCTGTGGTTGATACGAGCCTCAATCTCAGGTGTGTAGTCCGCGACGTCAACGTCACGATCAGAGGGGACGGTGAAGTACGGCTTACCAATGGGCATAAT